ACTTCAGGTGTAGTTCCCCTAGGTGGTCCTGGCTTTACCTGAGGATCTCTGAACGAGTTTCTCATCTTACAAGTATTGGTTTTATCCTCCCTTCCCTGTAAGTCATTGAAACTAAAGCTCTCCATCACTGTAGATCATCATATGCTCTCAAAAGGACTGCTCCCGTCAAAAGGACTGCTCCCTTGAATACTCCAAGTTTATGTTCTCATCTTGCCTTTGGCCCCTGACAGTTACATCTACCTTCTTGAAAGCTCAATCATATGTTTGGGGGGAAAATGGATATTTTGTTTTATTTTTATAGTAGGAAGAATTTTTTTAAAGATATTTAATTCATCTTATTCCAGCAATGGAATTCCTATTCAGTATCTTCTTTGAGCATAGGAGCAACATCTAGGACTTCTTCTGTGTTCCCTCCCATGGTTGTTTCCAAACATAACTGATGATGTTTCATTAACTACAATCTTCTGGGGCTATTGTTTAAGTCTCTGGCGCTACCTCAAACCCAGAGAATTAGAGTCTCCCTCTGGGTGAAAAAAATCCTAGGAATCTGAAGTTTTAAAGCCCCTCAGGCAATCTGAATCCTCACCCAGGCTTGTGGGCCATTGCACTCTTACTGGGAATAGTGCAGGGTTCTCAATAAAATCTTATGTATTCTGAGATCGTTAATAGTATTGGTTTCTTCAAAGGGGAAGGGCATTTTTAGTGTACATTTTATTTTCTGGACATGCTTCCACATTGTCTAGCTCTAAATTTTGTTAAATGAAGAATTCAAATTTCAGATCCATTTTCCCATATAGTCTGTTGTCCACAGCCATCAGCCACCATATGTACTCCTGAGGAGCTGAGTAGCAAGCAAAAAAGTATCTTCTTTGGCACCTCTCTTTGAACAAAACCTGGGCATCTGCTGGTCCCTCACTGAAACGTGAGGTGGGATATTGACTGTGGAAGCCCACAGTCCAGAAGCCTGTGGCGCTGGCCCTCTGCACACCGCAGCTGCCCCAGCTTTCCTGGCCGTCCCTGCTCTGTGCAGTTTTCTGCCTCATTCATCATGGCAGCGCTATACTGTGAGGTGATTGGCCACATAATATATTTAGCAGCAAACCTTTCTCTGACTTGGAATATGCAAATGTTATTCATTAGATGCTGGCTCTGCAGCTGTTACCTTTTCTGAGGCTCCAGCCAATTTCACTTGACTAAAGATTCCTTGGTGGGAAGGATTCACATGCAATCTTGAGTTACCACACTACAGAGGTGATCAGTGAAGCCACCTCATTCCAGAGTTTGGTTATACATTGTGCACAATGTGAAACCCACAAAGAAATGATGGGTTTTTCATTTTAATTAGGCCATAGATCCTGCTCTTGCTATTTTAAGTTAAATTGTAAATTTCGGGTAGAGGGAGGTAATTTCTCATATTGCCTATCATCTAAACACAAGAGCCTTCATTATGAAATGATCATAAAGATTTGCTATTATGAGAGAGACGTTTAACGTAAACGTCTACTGTAAACAAGTAGATTTAGTGCTATTAAGTTGCCTTAGTGTGAAGGGGGTTTAAGGACTTTTTTGTTTTTATTTTGTTTTAATCACTTGGCTTCAATCCCTTTAAGACAGTCATAAGAAAAGCTAATTGCTTTTATATCATATCAAGTTCTAAAGTTGTTTTCCCCCAGTAGGTACTGAGTCATTGAGATCAATCCCTCAGGGAAAAAAGAGAGGAAAAATGGTTAAATGCAGAATAGGTTTTCAACAAATGCTTATTACTTGATCATTTCTGCTTGTGTCCTTATTACCTGATAAACCAATTTCTTCCACCAGGGAGTAAACAAACCTTGGAAACCCAATTGCTTTTTTGTTTCTTCCTTTTCTTCCTTTGATTCATTTCTTTAGGTATTTACTAGGTGCCTTTTATGGAACTGTTCTAGGGACTGAGAATGTGTATCTTAGTAATTACATGGATTTTATTTTTAGTGTGAGAGACAGAAAAAACAACACAAATTAGCATTTGTTGGTTTTTATCCTGATTGGCTGATTTATCTTTTAAAAGGCTCACTCAGACTGCTGGGTGGAGATTAGATAATAAGGGTGGGGACAAGAGTTAAAACAAGGTGGAGAGATGAGAGATATTGGCGGCTTAGCAGTGGTGGTGATGAGAAATATATACTTATATTTCAAATCTAGAGCCTATAGGATTTACTGACAAATTGGTTATAGAGTGTGAAAAGAATGGGGTCAAGGATGATGCCTACATTTTTAGACTGAGTAAACCAGCCAATATAGTGGTCATTTACTGAGATGGGAAAAGCAGATGGAGAGTGGAAGTTTGAGGAAATAAGAGAACATGTGATGTTTATATACCTATTAGACACCCAAATGGAAATATCACCTATGCAATTGGAAATGCAAGTCTGAAGTTAAAGGGAGAAGTGTGGGTAGGTATGTCCATGTGGAGCCAACCATCTATAGGTGATGGTTAAAGCTGTGGCAGAGAATGAGATCACCTAGGGACCGAGCATAGGTGGTGAAGGGAAGTCTGCAGTCTACTGCTGAGTCCTAGAGGCACTCCAACATTTAGAAGTCAAGAAGAAGAGGAGATCTTGCAAAGGAAGGAGAGAAAAAAGAGAATATTTTGTGAAGGATAGAATGGTCAGCTGTATCAAATGATAGTGAGAAGTCAAGTAAGATGAGGACTGAAAATTAACCACTGGATTTTAACAATGTGGTAGTGGTTATTGGTGTCAGTGGAATGTGTTGAAGACTGGGAGCTCAGGAAGTAGTAACAGCTGTATCTGAGATGACTCTTGAGCAGTCTTGCTGTTAAGAGGAGCAGAGAAAAGGAGACATAACTGTAGGAAATATGAGGGCAAGGGAGGGCTTTTTTGTTTAACACTCTTCAACCTTTGTAACAGAATAGAGGACAGAGGATATGGGCACAGATGCTAGTAACCTGGTAGACATGATGCTCGAAGGATAAAGTTCTCTTTGGATTGCTTCTGTTTTCTCAGTTAAATGAGACACAAAATCATAGGCTGAGAGTGAGGAGAAGGGGAAAGAGGAATTGTAAATTTGAAAAGCAATGACAAGATGTGAACTAAACATTTTGGAGAGTATGCTGCCTAGGATTTCAGACATTTTCAGACTCTGAGATAAAAGTGTGATCTCAGAAATACCAAGTATTCCTATGGATGTTCTGCTGAAAGGAACCAAAATAGGAATCATTCAGGCCAAAAATCATTAAGGATAACCAGAGTGCTGCTGTCATTTGTTCAGGGTAGGTATAAAAGTCACTAGATACATTTCAATTTTTTAAATGTTTTGAATAGCTGATATACATCTATAACCTGATATATAGCTAATATATTTCAAAATACAAAAGGAATAAATGTGTAAGCAATGAAGAGTCTTCTTCCCTGAATCTC